ACGTTGGAAACATTTTTTTATTTTATTAACAGCAGTATCTAATTAGATTAAGTTGAGCCATAACACTAAAATTATTAAACATATAAAGCTTCCGTTTGTTATTATAAAATAACAATAATGAACTGGTTGATATGTTATTAATATACGATGAATGTCAACAAAACGCTGCAGAAGCGTCGCGTCATTGTGCAGAACGTTTTCCGATGAAGTTTCACGTCCATAAGGTTCCACTTGTATATCTCGCGTCGTAAAATATGAAAAACAATACTCGAATATCAGTTTTTTTCATTCCATTTACAGAATATTCGGGTTTACAACCCCAAGATCATTCTGCGACAGTAAAATTTTTTCTGTGGCTAGGTATTGCAACCAAGTATCGACGAAAACTTTACAAAATGTGTACAAAGTGGAGGAACTGCTGGTTAGATAGAAAACTGCGACACCCTCTATTCAATTTCACAGTTTAAAATTATTACGTTTTAAATATATGATGACTTAAATTTTGGAATAATAAAGCGATATTAGAGTACACATTTTTAACAACGAAGTTAACTATTGAATAATTCAATTTTTTTTCCTCCGACCTAAGGCAATTATGCTAACTGAATAATAATTTCTGTCGAATTACCATAAATTTAAATTAGAAACATCAAATTTGTTTTCAGTATTAATTCCCTTAAGAGCAGAAAATGGCACTATACCAAAATTACGATACTCATAACGACCTCCATTACTAAATTAAATAGAATAATGTGCAATGTAATTAGGATGTGCCATTAACTGAATTTATGTATCAGTTTTACATTATAAATGTGCTTTAGAAGGTACAATTTCTTGTAAGTAAATGAATACATCTTACAGTATTTCAGTATATCATGGTGTGTTACCAGTAAGTACTTAAAAGCTCGAAACATCCCGTAATTAGCATAAAATTCAATTACAGTGATACTGTAACTTGGTATACGTATATGTTTTTTTACTGATATTGGTATGATTGTATATACAGGATGTAAATTCAAGCAGGGGACAATTTTTTAGGGGTAATAGTATAAGTTCTCTATACCAACCTGATTTTTTTATCAAATAAAGAGTTGAGTTACAATTCGATCTTCAAGCCTTTAAACTGCACCTAAATTCTTATTTATGCCGCCACTGGGTCATCCGGAATTAGCGAAATAAGTTGTATCATAATTATCAGCGTTACCAGTTGTTACCTTTTTAAATCAACTGTTAGAAAGCGAAACTAAGATGGAAAATAATTTAGTAAAAACTTATTGCTTTTATATAACTTAGCGACGTGTTATTTTAAAATCACCATTTGTTTGATGTCAATGTGGACGAACCACCCAACATTAAAAAAAACATTTTTTGAATGATTTATTAAATATACCAATACCGACTGATATATAAATATGTTACTAAGTAAAACTAAGTTGTTATAAAATAATTATTTTTGCTGACTTAAAAAAACGTACATAATAAAGTTATATCTAAATACTTATATGAAATACAGGGTGTTATTTAAGTACCCAGCCAAACTTCAAGGAGTGATTCTTTGAGTGATTGTAAGACGAAAAGTTTATACATATAAACATAAGGTCCGGTGATGTTTCGCTTTCTAGGCAAAGGGTGTCAAACTTTTAAAAAAATCATTTTTTCATATAAATCTTAATAATCCTTTAGCAGATTTTGTTGAAATTTGGCAGTATCATTTATGGTAGAAAAGAGCTAATTTAGCCTTAACTTAAGATTAAAATTATTAAGTACAGTGGCGTCCCGAGGGGCACCTTAACTAACATTTTTGACAAAAAAAATGTGCACAATTGACTTTTTTAAAACTTTTATAATATTTTTCGCATTAGACAACTAAAAATACAACTCCTTTGTCTCATGATTTTTTTAATATCTTGCTTCCTTTTTGGAGAAAACAAAATCATTATTGCATGTCCATGGGCAACAAAAAACCATTTTTTAATAATTAATATAACACAAAAAATTTTTTTAGCTAGCATTAATTTTTATAACAAGTTCTAAGACTAGAATAGACTATTGATATGGAAAAAAATAACAGTTACACTCCAGTTTTTGATATTTTGGTAGTTTTAATTTTTTAGGTGATAAAGTAATTTTTATTTTTTTCTCCAAAAAGGAAATAAGATACGAAAAAAAATTAAGAGACAAAAAAGTAATAAAATTCTGACAAAATATCGTATCCGGTTTTTACTTTTTTTTTTTAATTTAGCCACTTCATTGGCCGGATAAATAATAATATTTATTAGCAGAAAAATTCGAATTTATGTTACGTTATTTATTATTATTACTTACCCACAAACAAACAACGATACACCCTGTAGAGCTCAAATTTAATCAGAATCCGATCCTGTTCCAAACGCTTACGAAGAGCAACGGAGGCCGTTTCAAACATATAGCTTAGAACAAGACAAAATTTTATTTACCTATTGAATTCCTTCACTAGATAATTATTTTTAGTTATTTAAATGTCAATATTTTAAATTATAGCCCGTCATAAATTTTATGGAAGACTCAAATCAAATTTTCCGTAGACGTTTGCGTGGCGAATGAAATTGGACAGAGACGGACCCTAATAAATTTGGTCCTATACATTAAGCAATATATAAATGTATCACAATATATTATATTATAGTTCTTCTACAACACCAATAAATAGGTTCATATTATTGTTGTACAAAACGGATGGAATATAGTGCCGAATTATTTTAGTTATTCAACGGAATATTGTTTATTAATACATTCATTTTAGAAGTTCGACAAAGTTGATTTACAAGTGAATATTGAAATATTCCCATAGAAGTTAAAAATGGACGTTGTTTTCAATAATCCAGACTGCCTGTTACAATTACTTATAAACCGTGAATATTACTACCGTCATTTTTGATGTACAGGGCGTTCCAATAGTTTGTGTGCAGTCGTCGACAAAAAATGGGTTTAAAGAATGAGGTTACAAACTTTTTTATGTCTACAGCTGTACATATACTAAAATTCTTTGGGTCTAAGTAAATTTATCTATTTCACGTTGATTCATTTTACTTTGATGAAGACTTAAAATAGAAAAAAAAATAGTAATGTTTTGTCAAAAAATTGGGAACTTAAATACAAGTATTAATTAGAAAACAAACAGATGGATAAAAAATATAAAATATGAAAATTGTTTTATTTTCTATTTCATTTAGTAAAATAAACGTATAAGTAATGTATTTTATACAGGGTGTAGCTAAAATGCTTGTCTAAAGTTTAATAGGGATTCTGTCACAAGTCAACAAAAGATACCCTATAAACATTTTTGATGTAGAGGGTGTTACAAGTTCGATAAAAAAGTTACAAGGTTTAAATAAAGGATGTTGAGCTTTCAGTAAAAAAATTACAGTTTTCTTTTCTACAACAATAAAACAATGACAATAAAATTATAAATATCTATACCACTTAAGAAACATATAAAATATTTTAACAGTTTTTAACAATAGGTCAATTACTCCAGTCGAATCATAAAACCTAAAAACTTAAAAAAATTATTATTAGTAGACATATTATTACACTTCATGATGCGGAAGGCTATGTAGAATTATAAATATGAAAAAAGTAACTAGAATGAAGAGACGCTAAATTGGCAAAATGCAAATAAGTGGCACATTTACGTGTTTTTTCACTTAGGCAGTAAGCCCACGAAAATCTAGACGGCCTATCGGAATATTAGTCGTTTTATGCTGTAGGCAATTAAATTACCAACAATTTAAGGTATCTAAAGTCATATTTTACCAATTTGTTAACTGTAAAATAAAGGTTGAACGCAGACAAATCAGTTTTCGAAAATTGCGCATTATTATTCCAAAAAGGGATGGATGTTGATAAAATTTATGGAAAAGACGGTCAATTCAAAGACCAACATGTGTGCCCAACGCCGATTCAATTGACATCGAAATTGTTGCTCTAGGTATTTGTTAACTAATTTCGTTAGTTTCTTTTGCAACTAAACTAAACGTTAATTTTGCAAGTTAATATCGTAGATATAGGTTCTAATTAATCCAGAGAAACGTATCGAAAAAGAAAAATTTCAAAAAGTTGAAATTGAGTTCCCTTTTACAACTAATAAAGTAGTACGTGCAAAAGCCGCTCGGGAATTCATTTTTTTTGCGTTAAATATAGCTTATTTTACGGCAACTTAAAAAGAAAAAGAGAAATCACCTACTCTCCTTTGTTCCCATGATAACTCTTTTTTAATAATTTTAATTGTTAATTAACTATTGGACATATCGGACCGGGATTTTAGAGACAATTAAAGAAAGGGTTAAACATTTATTTCCAAAAAGTTTTGCATTGATAGTATATGTAATAAACGTGCTAGCAGCGGTAAAAGTTAACGTTAATGAACGACCTGCATGCGGGAGCAGGAGCGCCGGGCCCGCGCACGCGCGCGAGCGCCGCCCTCGTCAAGCTCGCGAGATTTTTTAAACGAATTTGAAACGTTCAAGTCCTAGCTAGTAATAATAATAAATGTTTATAGGACTTTTTGTTAATATGTGACGTAGAATCCGTGATTGCAGTTCAGTTCTTAAAAATTTCGTACTATTTTTAAAGTATTTGTCATAGCAAAAATTTTAGAATGTAATATTTATTTTACTTTAACATAAACGTAACATGTTATTACAGAACCTCGAGAAGGAAGCGTGGAAAAGTATGTTTTCGGAACAGGCAGTCTGCTTATCTCAAACAACTCTTGTTCTACTTGCTTCATTGTTTGTATTTACGTGTCTGGCGGAGACGAGAACTAATCAATAAAAATTCCTTTTGAAACATCTTTTCGTTGTATTCGAACATCTCGATAAACACGTCCCTTAACAAAACTTTTCAAGTTCACGTCAGACAAGATTTACTACATTTTTGCAGGTCGCAGCCAGCACGGAATTTCTATTTTGCTACGCTTTGCGCATTGCAAATGCTTTTATTCCTTATTTTATCCTAGGAGAAAATTGAATTAACAGTATTTAGTTTATTAATACTCTCTTTTTTGGTTAAGATTAAATATGATATGCTAAATATTTACTCTATAATTATTTGACGTTACCACGACGTTACTCACGAACAGATTTTAAAGCTTTTCGTTTTTTAGAGGTTTCATGAAGGCATGCTAGATACATCTTTGTATAAATTCTTCGTAACTGGTGAAGATAGTTTTGAGCAAAGGGAAATCATAGTTTTGTGCTTTGAAATTTCACCTATTACAAAAACTCCGGTTTGGTGAAGGAAAAATAGTACAGTGCTATCGTCTTTTGACTACTACTTTTAAAAAGGCTGTATCTATTTTTCCTCTACCAAGGGGATGCAGTTACATGTTGGTTACCAACAACAAAACACTACACTTTAATAGAAAGGTGAAGCACCAATGAACTTGCTACGATACAAAATACAAAAATAGATCAGAAACGAAACACAAACGTAACATTTATCACACATCCGAACTCTTCAACCCCTCCAGCAGAGGCGCCGTGATCCTACTCTCGTCCAAATTAATGAAAATCGGAGAAGACCTGTCCTCTTCCGGTATAGAACACCTCCTGTCGAAGCTGAAGCTCACGTCCAAACTGTTGGCCATCCTTTCCGGCTTCGGCTTGTCCCTGTGGGGTTGTTCGAAGCTGCGCGATATCTTGGGCTTCGCGCCGGTGCACTCGTTGGTCTCTGAGACCTCCAAAGGAGTTTCGAAGCTGATGGTGGGGTGGTAGCTGCATGAAGGCCGTTCGGATATGGGAGGCGTCTTCCTTCCCGGTGCATCGAAGCTGATGAAGTTCCGGTGCCGGCTCTGCGGTCTCTCCACGAAACAGGAGGACCTCCGGGTCCGGAACTGGTGGTGGGGGATGAGAGGTCTGTCGATGGTGATGGAAGGCCGGTGGCGAGAGACGTAGTAGGGCCTCTCGATGGTGATCAGCGACGGTCTGCGTTCCTTGTTGAGGATGGGGATGATGGATCCTGCAACCAAATGAAATAAGTGTTAGTTACGTAGCACTTTGAAATAATAAAATTGTGTTCGATCCAAGAAAAATGTGGAAATGTGGGTCAATAATTAATATGAGTCAATAAGAAAAATTAAAGGTCCAAAATATTTTTACGTACTACCAAACTATCATTTTCATTATTCAACGTCATGTGACTTGAATGTGATGAGTGAAATGAAGTTAATTAATACCTACTGATATAAAGAGACCTACTAATCTGCTGATGCTTAGAAAGCAACAACTACACCATGCTATCTGTTCCAATTGGTATCGAATTACATCCTGAATATAGGAGAGACCTAATAAGTTCGAAACCAACCATGTTTAGTGAATTTATTTACTAGATATTGGGGACAGTTGTAGTAGAAAGTCTAACATACTTTAAATCTATGACGATGACTCAAATTACCAAATGCTTTGAGAAGTATAACAACACTTAGAAATAAATTCCTGTCACCAAGTACCGAAATACAATTTATTCACATTCGTCGAGACAAAATGACAAAGGAATCTTGAGGATCAACAGAAAAGTAATATCTATGCAAAACAGAACAACAGAAGAGAAACACATAAAATAAATGCACAATGGTTCTGTATTTGTATTTTGTGGGACACCTTTATCAGTAGCTGGAACTAGAGTTGTATGTATTATTTTTGTAAAGGGCAAACTTGCTCTCTATTTGTCAGTTAATTAAGAAAAATTTGCATAGCAAACGACAGTACAACATACATTAGAATTGTCGATTAAAACAATCAAACGTCTAGGGAAGTCTGACAACACTAGAATAAAAATTTCCTATCATCAAAGACAGAAATTATGTCATTCGTTACACTTAAAAGTGTGTTACAATTAACTGCAGATACAACTTGTTCATTTTTATAGGGACAAAATGACGAAAAAATTGAGTACCAGCAACCAGAGATATAAAACCAGAATCGAAGCTAAACGCACAAACAGTAAACAATAATGGCCCTAAAATTGAGTTTTGTGGGATACCGATTTTTTTTATACAATGTGAGAAAATTTTCACGACAGGATGCAGAAAATCGAACTTACTTTAAGATTGCAAATAATGGTAAACGGTTCAAAATCGCTGAGTTTCGTCTGAATAAGGACTTAAATTATTTCCTAAAAACAGTTCAGTATCATCTCATCTGTAATCCAAATAGAGTTCATCAATTAAACAAAGTAGTGTTATCGATTAAGAGAACGAATTTCTTTGGCGACATAAAATGTATAAAATTATTTACATAAATTAAAAATAAAAGTGGCCCTTATACGGAGCCCTGTGGTGCTCCGTACATAACTAATTGAATGCCAAAGTTAATATAATTGATTGAACAAATTTTTTTTAAATATGATGATCTTATAATATTCGAATTTATTAATTAGTATATCATGAGAAACAGTCGAAAGCCTTGGTTAGATCACAAGCTATAATAGCACAATGTGAGTCTTCTTCAAATCCTTCAACAATAAATTTTGATAGTTTGGAGAGAGCATGGTTAATAGAAAGCTCTCTGCTAAAATATACTTTTAACAGGAGATTACTTTCAAGATAAATGGACAGCCTTTGCCGCAGAATAATGTATATTATTTTTCCAAAAAACAGGAAAGGGGTGATCATTTTCCACTACGTTGCAGTCACCTTTTTTAAACGTAGATACCATTTGTACAATCTTAAAAATATCAAGAAAAGGGCTCGTAGAAAAAAATATTTAATTCAAGATGGAAGTAGCTCTGATGATATAAGACAGGAAGAAAATATATCCTCTATAGTCTGTTTGGAAATGAAAGAGTGTAATAAAACCCCGAGATAAGAACCGCCATGGGCGTGCTAATATTTCGTTTCAGGTAATTATCGGGTAACACTAATGCTAACAGGTAATGGGTGTACATTAGTATATTTTACTGGATACATCATAGGGCAGGAGCCAGTGTATTGTGACAGATCAATCCAGTCTTAGAGCTGAATATACGAAGACGTGCTAGTGCAGTAGAGTAAAATTCGACTTGTGTTTAGTGACTATTGTGCCAGTGGATATAATATTGTTTGGGTAAAATGTCGAGCTTATCAGATTACGTACCTGCTAAACGCGTGAAAAGATGTGCGCTGTCTCAGAATGAGAAGATTATTATATTAAATGTATTTAATGCATTGAAACACCAAAATCCTACCAACAGTGTTGACGACATCGTGGAAAAGTGTTCCAAAATGACAGGGATTGGAAAATCGACTATCTACAGACTTTTAAAGGAAACAAAAAATGAACAAGATACTGTAAATCCCCCAAAATCATCTACAGGGAGGTCAAAAGTCGTTATAGATGATTTCTTCAAAAATGTCATTCGCAGAAAAGTACACTCATTTTATTTTAAAAAAGAAATACCAACGCTAAACAAAATTTTAAGTGAACTTTCAGAGGACAACGATTTGCCAAAAATCAGTAGAAGCAAATTATGGGCCGTCTTACGAGAGTTGAATTTTTGCTGGGAAAAGCAGAACAGGAAGTCAGTTCTTATCGATAAAGATGAAATTATTTGTTGGCGAAGATCCTACTTAAGATCAATTAGAAAATTCCGTGACGAAGGGAGGAATATTTATTATCTAGACGAAACTTGGGTCAACGAGGGATATACTGTAACAAAAGTATGGCAAGATAAAAATGTAAAAAGTTTTCGACAAGCATTTTTGGATGGACTTTCAACAGGGTTCAAGGCACCTTCAGGTAAAGGGCGAAGATTAATAGTGACACATATAGGTAGTGCCAGTGGTTTTGTAGATGGCGGTTTACTTTTATTTGAATCTAAAAATACAGGTGACTATCACGAAGACATGAACGCAGATGTTTTCGAAGAGTATTTTACACAGATGTTGGATCTTATTCCTCCGGGGTCTGTAATTGTCATGGATAATGCCAGTTACCATTCACGGCAGACCGAGCGGACGCCTACGACTGCTTGGAGGAAAGCCGATATAATTCAATGGTTATCCGGAAAAAACATTTCTTTTGAAACAAATATGGTGAAAAAGGAACTTTTGACACTTGTCAATCTTAATAAAGATCAGAAAAAATATGTTATCGATGAAATGGCAACAAATCGCCAAATAACGGTACTACGGTTACCACCTTATCACTGTGAACTTAACCCAATCGAATTAGTCTGGGCGCAGGTAAAAGGAGATGTAGCGCGAAATAATACGACGTTTAAATTAAGTGACGTGAAAATTTTGTTAAAAAATTCCTTGGAACGAGTAACTGCAGATAACTGGCAAAGATGTATACATCATGTACAAAAAGAAGAGGAGAAAATGTGGGAACTCGATAATTTAATTGACGTTACTGTGGAACCTATCGTTATCAATCTAGGAGACGAAGATAATTCATCAGAATATTCAGAGGATGAATTTTAATATACCTACTTTTTTATTTTCTTTATTGTACATTTATACAACACTACATTTACTCACCATAATTTGAATTTTCAAAATACATATATTTTTGTGTGGAATAAAAGTCTATTCATTAAATTTAAATAAATATTTTGATAATAATATTGAATAATTTTATTTGAATTACTAAAAACCCTCTTAACCCGGTTATGATGCTTAAAGTAGCCTCATGTTTTGAAATGCTGTTTTTATATTGTTTACTTATAAGAGAAATGGACCGAGAAATTGAAGCGGCATAGACAAAGACGGATTGTCGGGGATTAAATTTTAGCTACCTGCTACAATTTAGTACAGTCCGATCGCACAAAGTTTTATTAAAAGTACACCTCATCTATACGGAAAATACATAATATAAAAATATTGAATATAAGCACCAGTACTACATTTATTTACGATTTGCATACATAATGAGCTTTTATTACTCTCTTTCATTTCTAAACAGACTTTAGAGCCAATCACATCTACATTAAAATATTAATATCAAAATTCCAGTCTCCGGACACAAATGGAATAATAGAGGTTTATTTACAAATCATATTACGCCGGAATCCGAGAACTACTAACCGACTCTCACAGGCCACTAAGGCCTGTTACTAACAGAATGAAATGGGAGACGAGAACTAGGTCGGACTCCGGGTAACTGACCTACATAGTATTCTTTCTTCCAGAAGCGAATCGGACGCCAGTTTTTTCCTGACAGATTTATTGTGGAAGCGGTCCGGATACGGACCGCGGAAGGCTTACGTTCCGCTAGATTTATTTTTTGCAGTCTGGTGAAATATGAAACGTAACGTGAATGTCAGCTGGTAACCTATTGGAATTGCTAGTACTTTTTATTTGCGGCATAAATCGCTTAGAGACTTTTCTGAATCGGACGTAATCTATTAAGGAAAATAACGGTCAATTTACTACGGGAGATTTGAACAATTTTGTCATAAAGTTGGACAGTCGTTGGAGTGGATACTTGCTAATGCACACATTGCAAAAGATGTAGTTTAATTTCAAAGCGAAATTAAATATTTAGTTTTTTTTGTTTAATTTACTGAGAAAGTAACTTTTCTTGAACTTTAAATGGATAATTAGATAGTTGATGTAATATTATCATAAAAATTTCACACCTCCACTTTGCAGTTAATCAAATGATGTTATTTTAAAAGGTTAGCATAGCAACAAAAAAAATATTCGAGTAATCTTTCTTTTGAGTAGGTATCTAGATGAAATTACTGAAAAATTTTCTGGCATTTAATGTGACTTTTGCGACATATACAAAAATATATAAAAATGGCATTCTATCGAACTAATAATTTTTAAGAAATTCAAATATCGACCAAATTTGTTTGGGGCTCCAAAGACAAGGGGGCCCATGAAAAAGTGTCTTAAGGGGGTTCCCCGCCAAAAAGCGTGGGACTATCAGATTCCACATGTCATAAAACCACTGTGTACCAAATTTAGTGATTCTCGTCCAATATGGTTCAGAGATACAGACTGTTACAAATTTGCTTCGCACTACAAAGATCAC